GCCCGAGCTGTCCCTAGTGCCTCCTTCTCCCCTGCTCTGCTCCCGGGTCTCTCTTTGCAAGTTTACAGATTAAAGCTGGGTATTTTCGAGGCTTTGCATCTGCCTGTTTTTTTATCGTGTGAGAAATCCCTGCCCCGGGTCTGCGCCGTGGGAGGCTGCTACGCCCAGGCACTAAGGAGCAGTGGGGCCGGGGGGTGGCCCTGGGAGTAGCTGCAGGGAGGGAGAAGCACCCCTGGCCCCTTCCTCTCTGCTGGGGCTTTCATTGCACATTTCAGACAGTCCAAAGGTGAGAGGGGAAGAGTAAACATGGCCTGTTAAATTAAAACCAACCTCCTCCCCTGCTGTTCTCATGGTGCGGAGTCCAGCATTCCCCAAATAACTCTGTCTTCCCACCAATGGCATTGCTGCTGCCGCTTGGCTGATGTCTGCAAAAAATGCTGGATGGCTTCAACACAAACAGACTTGGCTCTTTCCAGCTTTTCCCCCTCCAGCCCGAGCTCCCTTAACGTCACGCCAAGCCGCAAAGGGCTCTGGCAGGAGAAGGCAGCTGGGGGCAGCTGGGGTGCGACAGCGCTGCCTGCACCCTGCCATCCCGCGCGTGTTGCCGGGGTCTGCCAGACCCAAAAGCAGCTCCGGCTGTTTCCTTTGCTGCTGCCTTTCTTCCTTATCACGGTCCCATGCTCAAACCAGCCCTCTTGGAGCTGGGTTTTATTTCCTGACTTGGGGCAGCGTTACCAAAATGTGTCCCCCCATCTCCCCCGTGCTGCTCTTGCCAAGGGAAGGGCTGTGCCGCGTTGATGCTTCAGGACATGGACACCCACCCCTCCACCCCCCCACTGCCGCCATGGCCATCCTGGGGCTGTACCACGAGGCGATTGCCCTGGTTTTCCTCTCCGCAGGCATCTGCTGCCGGCTGCCGTGGGATTCCTCTCTGCCGCCTTTCTCAGGGCCAAGCGGATGAGGGCGAATGCTCAGCCGAGTGGAGGAAACAAATGAGCCCACCCCACTCCCAGCTCGGCCTGCCAAGCGGGAGCATGGCCACCTCGGGGGTCCCCGCGGCAGGGATTTGGTGCAAAACTGCGCAGGAGGGACGCGTCCTGCAGCGTGCTGCTGACCTCCTCGCTCACCTGGCCCTGGCACGGTTAAACGTGATCCCGGCTGCCCTGGGGACCTTTGCCCAGCCTGAACTTCAGCCAGGCCGGCGGTGAGAGACACCGATGGCATTTCCATGCCCTCCTCCCGAGGACGATCCCAGGGGCCAAGGACCAGCTCTGCCTGGTACCAGGTGCCGGGATGCTCCCCAGCTTGCTGCTGCCTTGCTCTGCCCTGGTTGACCCAAACCCACAGGCTCTCACAACCCCCTGCAGCCACTTCTGCTTCCTGGATGGTGAGCAGAGCCGGGGCAGAGGCAGAACCAAGCCCCACGGGGTTCCCCCCATCTCCCCACTC